TTAATCCCCTTTTGAAAGAACCCGATAGCTCTCCTGGTAAGTTAACCCTAAGAAATCACCGAGATCTCCCATTGACCCTCTTCAAAACACCCAATTCACGTTCAAACGCTTTTCCTCACTCCGTTAACAAAATAACCCTCCAATTAATGAATTATGACAAATTCCAACATCAATGTTTCAATTTCTTCCCAACCCTACTTGTCGCTTACTTCAATCACCTATTTGGAGCCAACTTCTGATAATGGCCGTTTTCGTAAATGAAGTCTCCGGCCTTACTAATTACTTTCGTGATCCTTAGAGTGGGGGCAACTCTCCACTCTCCACAATTTCTGGAGAGTGAAGAGTTGGGGTCGGATGCTTGGTCGGGGAGACTCTTCACTCTCCGCAATTTCTGGAGAGTGGATAGTTATGTTCGGATGCTTGGTGGAGGCATTTCTCTACTCTCCACAGTTTTTCGAGAGTAGACAGATGGGATTCCTGACTCAGTAAAAAATGACCCTAAAGGGTTTTGACCCTTCAAGCTTCTGACCCTTATGACTCCAATACCGCAAATCTGTTGACACTAGGATATTTTGTCCCGAAAACGTTTGGACCCTTATATTTTTTGATTCTCACGTTCTGATCCTTGGATTCTCAGACCCTTATTGGTCCTGACTGTTGGATATTCACTCTAAAAATTTGAGACACTTAACAATGTTGAACCGTCAAATAATCCGACCCCAAGTATCCTCTCTCCAAAAATTGTGAAGAGTGTAGAGTCGCCCCTACCAAGCATCCCACCACAACTATCCACTCTCCAGAAATTGCGGAGAGTGGAGAGTCGCCCCCACTCTAAGGGTCACGAAAATAATGAGGTGCAAATATTTGACGGTTCAACATTTTTAAGGGTAAGAAATTTTTAGGGTCAAAATAGTACTGAAAAGTACTAAAAGTACTGAAGAGTAGGGAATTGGCCCTGTAATTTCAACTCTCCACGAGATCTCACATTTTTCTCCACTCGTATAACAAATAGAGAATCGGACCATCCACTGGGTCCGCTAGGGTTGCGTCAAAAAAAAACTATTTCTTGCTCTTTTCAATTTTTTCGAATAACTGGATGAAATTTTCTATTGAATCGTCACTTTTTACAAATGTGTGCGCAACAACGTCGGGGAAAAACTCCGGTACGTTCCCGTTAACGGTAGCCCTCTCCAGTGTAAATCAGTAAGTTGAGAATAATATCATTGAAAAAATTCCCACTCCGGTGCCAGATTTCGAGGACACTAAATTATTACTTCAAAATTTTGCCGGAAGAAGGCCACGAACAACCGAACCTGAAGTGTAGAATTCCTCACGTATTCATCATCAGTAAGGCCGGAGAGTTCCTTTACGGAAACGGTAGATCATGCGAAGTTGGCGACAAATAGTGATTTGAAATGACCGATAAATAGGGAGGGAAAAAAAGTTGAAAAACATTCTTATATCTCACATTAGAACATCCCAAAAGTTGAGAAAGAGCTCTCGGTTTTCCCCCAAAATCCTAAAGAAAACCTAGACTCATCCCGAAATTTAAAAAACAACTTTCGGCTTTGCCCCAAGACCCTAAAGAAAGCCTAGACTCATCCCGAAAGTTGAAAAAAAACTCTCGGTTTTCCCCCAAGACCCTAAACAAAGCCTAGACACATCCCTAAAGTTAAAAAATAACTCGGTTTTGCCCCAATACCTCAGAGATAAGATAAAATAATCCTTAAAGTTAAAAAATGACTCTCGGTTTTGCCCCCAAAACCCTAAAGAAAACCTAGACTCATCTCTAAAGTTGAAAAATAATTCTCGGTTTTGCCCCCAAGACCCTAAAGAAAACCTAGACTCATCCCTAAAGTTGAAAAATAACTCTCGGTTTTGCCCCAAGACCTTAAAGAAAGGCTAGACTCATCCCGAAAATTCCAGAATAACTCTCGGTA